GCTGTAGCAACGTGATGCCGGCCGCCGACCAACGCAGCATGCAGCACCTCGTGCGGCACTGGCGGCTTGCAGATGACCAGCGCAAATTTAATGCATTTCAGCCAGATGTCCGGGTCGTAAAGGGAATCCAAATGGAAATAAAATTCAACACAAATTACAGAAAAAGCAGAAGTAACAATTCCACCAAAAGCATATGTCTGCGCATGTAAATATGCGAACCAAAGACCAGAAACAGCAGAGGATTTCGTTCGTGCGATCAGGCAAAGGCGCAAGAAACTGATAGAATGTACATATGCCCTTGCATATAACAAAGCTTTCATTAAGGAAAGGAACGGCCCAAGTACAACAAATATGTAAATATATGTATGTATTATCACGTATACACTAACACTCAGACATAACCCACACGCTGCCTCTGTTTGTAGTATATACATAGATAGACAGATAGATAGATAGATAGATGTGCGTGCGTGCGTGTGTGTGTGTGTGTGTGTGTGTGTGTGTGTGTGTGTGTGTGTGTGTGTGTGTGTGTGTGTGTGTGTGTGTGTGTGTGTGTGTGTGTGTGTGTGTGTGTGTGTGTGTGTAAGAAAACGTAGCGTGTATTCCCCTGGACTCGTCCAAAGACCGACCGGCACCTGCGAGCGTTGGGTCCCTGCCGCCGCCTCAGCGGCCGACCCTTGACCCCCGACGAATCGGGAGACCCGCGGTCACGTGACGCCCCCCGGCACCCAGTCAGATGTAGAGCTCGGAAGACAGCGAGGGTGGGGGCGCACACTCCGCACAATGACGCCACAATGTATATATATATATATATATATATATATATATATATATATATATCACATTATGCTATCCCCGCTGCGTCACAGCATTTACGTTATTGACAAGCACACGGCCTCGTCGGCAACCCTTCTTTCAGGCGTGTCACATATTACGAATCGCAAGAAGGAGGAAAGTTATCTATCCAAGATACACCTGATTGCACTGGCATCTGGAATATGTTTACAAGCGACGTAAACCATTACTGGTCCAAACGTTGAGGTCGTCCGTCGATGCAGAAGTTGCGGTCCGCACGGTATCGGCTGCATGCCTCCGGCGAGTTTGATGCCGTATCTAAATGACGTCCATTTTACAGCCGACAGATGTTCGCTGTTTGGCCAAGGACGAGCCCGCTAAAAGCCCGTGCTATCTTGGTTACGCGCGGCTGGGAACAAATAGGTACGCCATGCAGTGCCTTCTAGGGGAGCGGGGGGGGGGGGGAGCCGCTAATGAGCGGCCACGCCGTGGCGGTACACTGACGAGTTGGTGTGTGGCCCCGGCGGGCGGCCCGCCGCTAATGGCGCCCCGCCCACAGCGCGCCGGCCGATACCAAGTTTGATCTGTAATCGCAGCCCCTTTCATGGCAGCAGCTGCCCGCCGACGCCGGACCCGCTGCCACGGCCGCGCCGCAGACCGGCGGCGCAGGTGCAACGACCGCGGCAGAAAGCGGCGCGACAGCCGCTGCCGTGAAGGAATCATTAACTACAGTCTAAACAGGCACGCCGAAAGAGAAACAAGAGCCTCTGGCGGGATGCGCCGGCGCCTCTCGCAGATGCGACGCCGCCCGCGCCTGGCCGCTTAGGCTCGCCCGCAGCACATCAGGAGCTCGCCGGCCGACCCAGCGCGGCACAGCGACGTTTCAAGGTCGAGCGCGTCCGAGCCGGCCAGTGTTGACGAAGCTTAATGATGTTGACGTGGGAGCCCGCTTTGGCCGCTGCAGGAGTTTGTGTGTGATGGGAGCCATCATTTTTCACGCCACGCGACGGCCGCCTCCCGCATTGCCACCCGTCATAATTGACCCAACACGGGACGCACTTATCCGCCTTTCCACAAGGGCCGAGCGCGCCGCCGCGCTAGCACGACTCCACGACCCTGCTGAATGCCTCGCATGGATGTCCACCTGGATTACAGCGCCGCGAATAGCGGCCAGAACAAAAGCTGTGGCGGCGACGGACGTCAGCAGCTGTGGGCCGACACGGGCGGCGGCTGAAGAGCCCTCGGCACCGCACAATGCCGCTGTCGATCACGACAGCCGCACCGTGACACCCGGACACCAGGGGCGTCCGGCCGCCAGGGCCATCAGGACACCACGGACATCCGACGACCAGGAGCACCGGTGACCAGGGCCACCCGGCCACCAGGGGCACCCATCCACCAGGAGCACCCAGCGACCAGCGGCACCCGGTCGCCAGGGCCACCCGGACACCATGGACATCCGACGACCAGGAGCACCGGTGACCAGGGCCACCCGACCACCAGGGGCACCCATCCACCAGGAGCACCCGGCGACCAGCGGCACCCGGTCGTCAGGACCACCCATCCACCAGGAGCACCCGGCGACCAGCGGCACCGGACCGCCAAGGTCACCCGGACACCAGGGGTACCCAGCCAAAATCGGCCCCCGGACAGCCGCTCCACGGTTCACAAGGCTCTCGCGGCCGACCCAGGTGCAGCCAACTGAAGCAGCACCAGACAGCATCGGCACCAGACAAGATCAACTGACAGGGCCAAGCGGGATCCACTAAGACGGGGTCAACCGAGATCAGACGAGACCGGCTGTCGAGGTCAAGTGAGACGTCAGTTGAGGTCTGTTGAGAATGATGGATACAGGGTCAGGCGAGGTCAGATGACACAGGTCGAGTAAGGTCAAACGAGACGGGTCTGATGAGGTCAACTGAAACGAGTTCAAACAAGGTCAGCTGGGGTAGAGTCGGTGGAAGGAAGTGGTCACGGATCAGGCCAGGTCTGCTGAAATGGGATCAGGCGTGGTTAATTGCGACTGATCTGGTGGGAGCAACTGGCGCAGGATATACTGCGGAACGATCACAAAACTAAGGAACGATCAAGATGACAGTGCAGGCTTGCCTGATGGTCGATCATGGTCAAACAAAGCGAGAAATATAAATATCAGGAGACGTATTCTGGACATGTTCCGGCATAGCCAGGGAGCTGTCCCTGTCTGGGCATACCTACCAGCTGTATGTGTATGTGCGATGACCACTGTCGAAGGCAGCCGCCCGGCAAGGACACGTGACAACAAACGCTTCCATGGAGAGCGCTTAGGGCAGGCGTCCGGGCTCACCATGTGCATCAGCAAGCAGCTTTGACGGCTGACGATGTACGGAGCAGGAGTGACGATTACCTGTGATTATCGATACCGTTTCTGAAAGTGTGGGTCGGCCCTCAAAAGTGTGTATTTTGTTCACCATTATGGCTTTCAGCAGCCGCATTTACCGCGATCTCGGTGTGGCACGTAGTCAGCCCAAGATGAATATAAAAAGCAGCGTTCCAGCGGCAGTCAGAACTAACGGTGGGCCAGATGCCACGCCATTATCGGCCGTTCATAAATAACGTATGTGCAGCACTGATATTCCGCCCAGCGGCAGCATCTGCCCATCGATCCGGCTCCGTGAGGTGTTTCCGTTGGATAGGCTGGGCCTCTGTCCTTGCCGGTAGGCAATGCTGGTCAGACTGGGCTTTATAACGCTTCCGGTGGTTTCGGCCATGCCACCCGGCTCTCTGTGCCGACTGCAGCAAGAGGGGAGGGGTGGGGGGGGGGGGCGCGACGAGCAGGGGCGAGCGGCGCGAGACGCCCCGGCGGCCGTCAGGCCGCCGCCGCGTCGACAGCTGACGAGCTGATGACGTGCTGCTCCGCGCAGAGCGGCGTGCGCCTCCATTGCAGGGGTACCCGCGGCCCGGTAAAGCGTGCGTGAACCCCCCTCCCCAGACCGCAACCGCGCAAGACGTCCATCCTGCAGTAAATCGAGGCCAACGTATGAAATGGGGAGATGCACTTTGGCGGACGAGTTCGGCGAGTGCGGTCGGCTCGCGGGCGGCGGTGTGAGGATCAGCCGGCTGGCTCGGGGTGAGGATCAGCCGGCTGGCTCGGCGCCGCGGCCGTGACGAGCGCGCCGCTCGCGCTCGGCCGCGCCCGCCGCGGCAGCACCGGCCGGTGTCCCGGAACACGGCGTTCCGGAGAGCACCGTGCTCCGATGCGCGATTGCGCGCGCTGGCGGTGTGCTCTAACCGACTCCCGACTGTGGTGATCTGCGTGAGTTGGTCCGGTCACACGGGTGCGAGGATACTCACAAAGCACGGAGGCGCCTGGAAATTTTCACATCTCGTTCTTGAACTTGGAGTCTTGTGCAGGAAGACATCCGGCCCGCGCACAGAAACAAAGTGAGCCATTCACGGAGTATATGGATTGAACCACATAGTAACATTGCGTTGCATTCGGCATCTCGCGAAATAAAAGATGAACACGTCAACACATTGTGCCAATTAACCTAGTGACATGTAGACCTTCCACACGAGTACAGCCTGTGCCAACCGCCATTCCGAACAATCTCTGCATCTGAAGCACACAAACAGCGCAGTTCTAAAAAAAAAACAGATATGAAGTTTCTGGCGAGAAAATGTTTTCAGCCAACGTGCGCTAACTTATACAGATCTTCTGAATGATAAACAGAGTGAGATGATAGGTCAAGTTGGCTACGCTAACATTCTCAGGCGCAGCATCCAGAAACAATGCCTACCAAATAAATGACAGAGTTATCAAACAGCTATATCAGCCATCCTTCCGCCCTGGCCGACGACTGCCTTTGCTCTTTGGCCAAAGACTAGTCTTATCACATTGACACGGGGAGGGGCACGGTCTCTGCGGCGCCGATGCGCGCTGGCCTCGGGACACCGGACGCGTCCTCATCAGCTGCAGCAGCACCTCCGGCCGGCCAGCGACGCCTCGGCGTCGCCCCGCCGGCGCCGACCGGGCCACCAACAACGACCCGGCCGGCGCCGAGGCTTCAGCACAGGGTCGAACATCAACCAGCGTCTGCGGACGGTGGACGGGGCGCGGCGGCTGCTCTGGACGTGGGACGGCACGACCGCGGTCGACCCGATCCCACCAGACTCCTGCCCGGCTCGCCCACGTCCGCGTTCGGCGGCGGCGGCGCGCTGCCCGCCGCCGCCGGTCGGGCTGCGCTGGCAGCGGCGCCTCATCGGGACAGGATTACGCTCACCACCAGGATCACCCAGTTGGCGATCTCGTGGCACAGCGGGCAGCCCGAACCTGTGACGGGAAGGCCGTGTCAGGCCCGGCGGCGGGTGACGGGTCACGTTCAGCGCGCCGAGACGTTCGGGGGACAGAATTAACGTAAAAACATGTTTTCATTCTTATGATGATAGCATCCAAACGCGGAAGGTGCTAAGCGTCATTCCTGTTACGGCATTTGAGATCGCAACATAGCTCGTAATAATCACGCCGCTTCACCAACGTGTATCGAAATGAATGATATCGTATCTCAATGACAGAGCACGCACTATTCCCCATCGACCCGAGCTTTGGCTGTTCCCATGGCTTTCTGCAACAAAATTTTTCGGACCACATCAGCTCGAACGACTTCGATGTGTCTAATGACACCAATGAGCACCGGGACTCTAAGACAAATGACAGGTGATACCCGATAACGACACGCACTTCAGCCGAATGTCCCCCTAAAGAGACGCCGTTCCCAGCGAAATATCGCCCAGCTAAGCCGAAATTGAACCGAGAAGCGTTTGCGTCGCGCCGTCCAATAACCACGCCGAAAATGCACTCAGAGTTCCGGCAATCAATGCAGTTATGAAGGGCGCGCCGCATGCAGTCGCAGGTCGCAGCGGGCAGGCCGGCCCGCGGCGGCTCCTTCCGAGAGCACACGGGTCGAGCGGCGACAGAGCGCGCGCTTATTGGCGGCAATAGCGCGCGACGGCAGAGCGCGTGGCGCGAACGATGGCAATATGCGCCGACAATGCCGGCAAATGATGGCGATTATCTGGCGTTAATCTGGCGACACGAGCCGTTCGCACACATCCGACAGTGGTGTGAGCGACACGATCAAAGAGAAAGAAGAGACGCCGACAAAATTACTCCACAAATGGCCTTCGTCATAATACAGCAGTTCGAAACCGCACGTGAAATTATTTCGCTACACGGTTGACGTGGCGCCTGTGCTGTAATTTAGAATCTTTGAAAAATACCTACGAGCACTAAGATTATGCAAGCTTGCTAGGAGAACAAACGTGAACCGATGCTTGCTTTCCTGGCATGGTGATGGTGGTGTTCATGGCAAGGTGATGTTCATCCTGGACGCCTTCTAACATAGTCGGTCTCCAGAACATATATCGTGGGCAGAGTGTAATGGTTCTGTATCTGACGTCCGCCGAAAGCCAGGATGAAACTTTGGCAGTCATGTGACCACGACATAGCAGCTGCTAGACAGTCGAGCCAGCCGAAGCTGACCCGGACGCAGTGAGGATCAATTCAGCGTCCGGGTTACAACTAAGGCAAGCAAAATCCTGCCCAGCATCATACACATACATGAAGCGCGCTCAATCACATTCAACGGCGACCTGCGCAAAATAACCTGTACGTTATGGCCGATGCTCGTCTACGTCGGCTGGCACAAATAGCGCGCTCGAGAAAGACGGCACGCCGTGTCAGTGACCACCGAAATATCCCGGGTTCCTTTACACATAAGTGGGACGCTCATCTGCCTGAGCCGGCTCGCATCCGCTACGGCTATTTTCAACGCCGAAGCCCTGCTCGCGCCGCGATGAGACGTCTGTGGTCCGGATGAAGATGGATTCTGCGGCTCCCAGCCCGCTAACTACTTCATCAAAATCGACTCCTCTGCCCCACTCGCGCCACAATGACGGGCGGCCGAGCCGGGCGCCCAGTACACGGCTCCGCGCAGCGCACCGCGTCTCTTGAGACAGTTTTTTCGGTCAGCGCTGGATGGGCCGTCCCCGGCGCATTACCTCCGCAACATCATCAGCGGGCATGAATACAGAGCGCCGGGCGGTGACTCCGGCAGATTGAAATATACGGCGGCTACGAGGGCCTGGCGTGCGTCGCCGGCGCCCTCTGTGGACTATTGTTTTTGTCGCTGTTTTGACGGCGGCAAAAACGCCGGCCACGTCTCGTCGGCGAGGGCCACAGCTGTCGACAGGCGGCACACAGCTTTGTGTCATCCGTCGGATCGGGCGGCCGCTTTATTGGCAATACGCAGCCGTGCTGTGAGAATAATGACCTCCTTTGAGAAGCCATTAAAGCCGAATTGTGAGGATAACTAATAATTCAGCGGTTTAACTGCGGCCCCTGGCTGTCGATCTCGCGGGAGATGGGCGGGAGGGTGAGGTCCCGTTGACAAGATACTCGAGGCGGGGGCAGGCGCTGTGGAGCCTGCGCGAAACACCGGAGCGTCGCCGGCCATCTGCCGACGACACGGTCCTCTCCCGCCCTCCCCCCGGGACCCACGCCTGCCGTCAGCGGGGAGGCACCCCTGGCGTGGATGGGGCACAGCACAGTTTTTGCGGCGCGCGACTGTTTGGTGGGGCTGGTGTGACGCTATTGGACAAACAGGACTGCACGGACACGGGTAACAGTCTCGACGAGTGACTACCATTAGCGTGCTTCATTAATCATCAATGTCTGAGATCACTAGCAGGACCCAATTTCGCCCGCCGACCCCGAGCAGCGGAGGAGGGCGCCGGTGCGTCGAGAGCCACAGAACACTAGCGGCGGCGAGCGGGGAGGCGGCCGGAAGTCTTACTTTTCCGGTTGGTGGCGGTGCTGTCGAGCACGTGCGACACCTCTGGCGGCCGGTCGCCGACGGCGCTGGCCTCGCGGCTCTGCCAGTACAGCGGCTGCACCAGGTCGATCTGCGCCGTGCACTTGAGCTTGATGTTGCCGCGCTGGAAGTGGTGTGGCCGCACCCGGAAATGGAGGCCGGCCGTCACCGACTCCAGGCCGTCCTCGTGGATGGTGGGCGGCCACAGCTTCAGGTGCTCCAGCGCCGCCTGGACGGCAGACAAGCACGGCTGAAAACGACGCCCGACTGGCTCTCCAGGACGTAGAGGGGGGGGGGGGGAAGAGGTGACTCAGAACGACGCCCGACAGCGAGCATGGCCGCCTCTTCAGGACATGGGGGAGAGGGGGGGGGGGGGTAGAGGCGGACTCAGAGACAGAGGAGCACTCACCGTCAGTCACCCAGCCATCAGCACGGTGGCGGCCGACCGGTCAGCTACAGCTCAGTGGAGCACGTGGCCCGGCACATTAGGCTAAGGGACCACGGTTCCACACATCAGGGGGATTAACACCTCATACAGGACCGGGCAATCGCTCATTTTGACGGCAATTAAAACCATAAGCTAAGCTAACTGTGATGCATGCAATCTTGAAAGCAATGCACCTTACGCAGGAAAAAAACACACACACAACACATGAGCCAGCCAGTGGAATCCTTTTATTTGTCTTTGTATGCCTTCATTTGCCGTTGAGAAGCAGACATTTGTCTTTTCATATCAGACGTATAGGAAAAGGAGCTAGTCTTCGCCAGGAAGCGTCGCTGTCTGTCACAACAATGTCCGCACGCGCCGCGTGGAGCATCTCCGCGACGGGGACAATGCGGCAGTGCGACGGGCGCCGCTCCCAGGGGATGGCTGGATGGCGCGTCACAGACGATAAGTGGCGCAAATCCTGCCGCGCGCAACAGCTGGTCCACACCATTCGCCGACGAAGTTCTCGGTCGCTTTTTCAGAACCTGCCAACGGGAAGCTACGCGGCTCGGAATCTTCGCCAGTGTTTTTGTGGGAAGCTCCGAAAAAGGAGGCACGTCAGCGCGCTGCACCTCGTGTAGCTAATTGAATAGAATGCCAACAAGCTGCCAGTGCGCTGGATCTAGACGCTGCTGTACGCACAATGCATGCGTCGAGAGAATACCCAGCACAAAGTACCCGGAGTGCCCAGTTAAGCATACATCCGCCGGCAGAGCACCCCAGCGTCTCGCCATTCGCTGCCAATGACACGAGCAGCTGACGCTCGCGCCGGAGCGCGTGTTTGTGGGCCGTTCTGGCGGTGGCCCAGCGTCAAAAGCCGACTAAGCTACGGCGGGCGGCAGTCAACACCCACCGGCGGCCGCAACGGCCGCTGGCTGCTCTGCCGGCCGAGCTGCGCGGCCAGAGGTGACTGGCGCGTCACCGTCGCCGGAGGCGCCCCCTCCCCTCCCCTCCAGCCTGCCAGCCGGACCCAACTGTCCAAACAGGGACGCGTGCACACCGACAGACGGGCACACACACACGCATACACAAGCGCGCGGAGAAAACAAACGCACGCGTGTGCACGTACGGGCGTATGCGTGCGTCTGTCGCATTGCGCGTGGATACGTGTGCGCATGCATGGAGGCACACGTGTGCAAAGACGGACGCAGCCAACCCGCGGTACGTGCGCATTACGCGCGCACGAACACACGCACGGTCACGCGGAAAAGGACCGACATACACCCACGCAGACGCCATCCACTGATCGAGACCCCCTCCCCCCCCCCTGAAGGCCCTTAGCCATATGTCAAAACCGCGCTAGATCCCACTCTCACATGTCTCTATCTCTCGACCGCGACTCCGTCTTCCTATTGATCCTGCCCGGCGAAGAGCGCTGTGGTCACCAGCAGAATGTGCGAATAGCCCGGGTGTTCCATCCACATGTACGGAGATGAGCGAAGTCGGCGGTGGCAGCCGGCCCCGGCGGCGGCTGGCAGCTGCCGCTCACCTCCTCGTTGTTGATGAACCAGGTCAGATTGGCGGCAGGCATGCTCCTGTGCGAGGTGCAGTTGACCTTGACCCGGTCGCCCACCTGGTAGCGGGTCTTGCCGCCGGTGATGGCCGGGCCGGCGGCTGGGAACGCTGCGGGTGGGGCGGCCGGGTCAGTGCGGACCGCCACACGGTGTAGGTCAGACCGTCACACGGCGCCGGTCAGACCACCACACGGCGTCAGTCAGGCCGTTACACGGCGCCGGTCAGACCGTCACACGGTGCCGGTCAGACCATCACACGGTGCCGGTCAGACCGTCACACGGCGCCGGTCAGGCCGTTACACGGCGCCGGTCAGACCGTCACACGGTGCCGGTCAGACCGTTACACGGCGCCGGTCAGACCGTCACACGGCGCCGGTCAGACCGTCACACGGCGCCGGTCAGGCCGTTACACGGTGCCCGTCAGACCGTCACACGGCGCCGGTCAGACCGTCACACGGCGCCGGTCAGACCGTCACACGGCGCCGGTCAGGCCGTTACACGGCGCCGGTCAGACCGTCACACGGCGCCGGTCAGACCGTCACATGGCACCAGTCAGACGGCCATACGGCGCCGGTCAGACCGTCACACGGCGCCGGTCAGACCGTCACACGGCGCCGGTCAGGCCGCCACACAACGCCGGCCAAGCTACCAGCGGCCAGCTGGCGCACGGCGGCCGGCTGCGGCTCGGCGCTCCAGCCAGTCCGGCTCGGGCTGTGTAGGCAGGATCCACGTCAGAGATCATGCCATGCGTGATGTTATCGTACTGATGCAGGCCAAATGAAGTTAGAAGTTGGCAATTTGTCGCGAACTAAGCTGAAACCAACAACAAAGGGTTAGACGACCGGACCATGGGAGATTGCAAGAGCCCCGCTGAGGCAGTTTTTAACTAACTAGACATACGCCACGATGAACCAGCGGACGTTTCGCATGACAGGCATGCACTGAGAACAGTGCGGATCACACGCTTCAGCACATTATCTTCGATGTGGTGTATTTCATGCTTTTCATAATGTTCTTCTGACACGCGACACCCGCCATGCTATGATCGAGCGGTCCCAATCGGCTGGCTTCTTACCATAACGAATTCACTTATGTTTCCGACATAATCCTCATTACACATGGAACTCATCCCATCCGGCTGTTTGAGGGGGCGTTATCGTCGTCGAACACACTCGATTACGTATGTACATCCGTGTCTGTGGCTGCATGGTAATGTTGTCATAATCCGCCCGACGAGATTACATTAACTCCGCGCGTGTGGGACAGCGGACGATACACTGCACAGGGAGACCGCTGACACTGCCGACAAACCAGCGACGCTCGGCGTCACGGACAGCCCCCCGCCCCCCCCCCTCCCCGGCCGTACAGAAGTCCGCACGGAAGGCGACAGACATCTTATGACGTCAGACATCTCAGGGCGGCCGTCGTCCGAACGGTTTGCCGACTCACTTGAACCAGGCATAGGTGCAAAGAGAATCTCCGAATAACGCTAAATCTTATATGCATAATCTCATATAAACATATATATATATATATATATACATATATAATTACATAATACAACTCAGCGCCGGAGCTAGCACCTAGCTCACGCTGGAGCCAATCACACGCCTCCCAGCCCACGGACGGGACGGCGGAACACTGACACCCGAGACAGGTCACCGCCGCGGCTGGCGTGCTTTCGACGCTCGCTACCAAGTGTGTGCAGCCTATGCAGCTACTCCACCGCAGGTCGCCCGCGGCCACCCAATCGCCCCGACGTGGTGTCTGGAAAACGCTGGACGATAGCGACGCACCGTCCTCGGTCAATTTAGTGCATTCTCCAGGTGACCCAGTTGTGACCTAGGTGACCTGGCTGCGGGAGCGGAGGGCGGGACGAGTCACTGTGGCCGCGAGCTGCCATGGGTGCAACGACTGCTCCCATCTCACATGGGTGTAGTATCTTACTGACTGAGCTTCCATTCCGGGGAAAGAACTCTTACTGACTGAGCTTCCATTCCGGGGAAAGAACTCTTACTGACTGAGCTTCCATTCCGGGGAAAGAACAACGCAGACTGGCATGATCTTCGATTACAAGCAACAGTATTGTCAAGGCTCGCCAAAAACCTAAATGAAACACAAAGCATACAAAAAGCGAGAATAAGTTATAATAGCGCAAACAGCCGGTTTTCAGCACGCCGATTTAATCCGACACCAGGTCTCTACAAACCGGTTGAGTGAATATAGCAAGGGATCATAAGGACATGTTCGAGATATGCTCGGTGTTTTAGAGCGGTGTTCGCGACCACAGCTGAACAGGGCAACGTAGGGCATTTGACTCAAGAACCTGCGGCTCTTGAAAGACAGAAGGAGTTATGGGTCTGCGGGGACTGCCAACAACAATACACTGGAACATTCAATCATTCAGGTTCTCACATCCCATCAGCATACACTCAGTGCTGCGCTAGGAGTTCTCAAAGTGCACGTTGTCACATGTCGATACACATCTCATCACATCTTATCGACATGTTAGCACACGTGTTTCGGCTCACATGATTTAGTAATGCAGGACATTACTGGCTTACACAATCTGTTCCTTTCAAACCTTACCATCAATCTAATCAAGAATAATTAAGGGAGTTCCAAAGCTAGCTCCACTACACCCGCGGGCTGATGGCTAGCAGCGGCTCATCGCTTAGCGTTTAAGCCTGTAAGACCGGCGCGCGGGGCAAGAGCACGCCAGACGAACGGCCTGAAGACGGGCGGGTCTCGCGCTGCGCTCTCTCCTCGACTTTGGCAGGCCGGCCCGGTGCGGCGCAGACGGCCTGGATCCGCCGAAGACGGATGGCGCCCAATTAGTCTGATTACGATAAATGTGAAACAAATCTTCAGTTGCTGGTGTTGGCATGTCGCCAGCTCAGTCCAATCAGGAGTGCGTACGTGACGCAGGAGGGAGCCGCCGGCGGCCGCAGCGACGCGGCCGGACGCCGCCCGTCCGATCCCCAGCCGAGATAGGTCACGACGCCCCTAGCGGAGTCGCGATGCCGCCCCCCCCCCCCCCCCGCAGCAGTGTCGCACTGCCGTGGCCGGGGTCGGACCACACAAAACACGGCTGGGCCGGCGACGCGCGGCCGCGGTAATCCTGTGCTGGCAAATGCTGGTGGACAGGCGCCGGACCTGTTCCCCGAACCGCCCGTCGCCCGTGGTGGGTCTGGGGCAGTTTGGAACACTGGGCTCGTCTCCGGCCCATTGTACCCGGAAACAAAGGCGCCTTTTATTCCAGCGATAATGAAGCGTTCGGCGCGACACACAGCACTGCCAGCCCGCTGTGGACGGACTTCCTCGTTTTCCTCCTTGCTCCACATTCTTGCAATGCACGAAGTACGCGTTTCTTTCATCCCGTTTTCTTTAATACAGGCATGCGACAATGCAACGCCCCAGTGCTAACGGAAAAGTTATTGCATGACGAGGTGGTGATCATGCACGCGCTGATATCATATAAGTGACGTCAATATGCTGGTGAGCCGCACACAATTGCAAGTAACGGCAAAGCCTCTAGCACATTCTGCGAAGGGCTTCGATGAAACGCCGTTGTTTTCATCCCCACGGCGCCCGCAGCGTTGTCCCGCTACTCACACGCCCCTACCCACTCCCACACCCTTGGAATCTCACCTACGACGTGCACTTGTCCCTTGCCCTGCTCGGTGGCGAAGTTGGGCGCCTCGGTGGAGATCTCGCACATGTAGCGGCCCGAGTAGCGTAGAGTGGTCTGCTCCAGCCGCACGTGCGTCTCGTTCGAGGCGGCCAGCTGCGGCGAACGATAGCCGCGGCGTCAACGGTCGCCACCCGGCGCGCGACACCCACCGCGGCCGCCGGGCTCGGCCCCGAAATACAACACTGGCAGCGATCAACACATCTAAAAGGGCACCTCGACTGATTTCAAGCTGTGCGTGGAGACCTCGTTACCTATTCACGCTGGCGTTATGGGACCTATTTGGTGCCAACTAATGTACAAAAGGTAGGATAACCAGGAACGAAGTACACTGATTGTCGTGAGTTTTGTCAAAAGACCGGCATTTTTTTCTGCGGAAGCATTCGTCTTTCGTCATCAAAAATGTACCTTCAAGTCATTTTACGTTTGCGAATTGGCCCCTTGGGGAAAAGTCATTAAGCATCGCACACCCCACATAACATGAGGACGAAATAAAAACGTTTCCGGAGTAAACCTGGCTGGCTATTTTAATGATGCTCTGTTCCTGCTTATCGTGGCTTCCATGGATTCCACATTTTACACCAAATTGGCTCCCTCTCTAATCATTCTAGCGTGAGAAGGAGCTGTGAGAACAGAGTTAATTTACGTAAGACAGTCAGCACAGGGTGGTGGCATGTTTGAGGTCACGGGCCTGGCGGCTGACAGCCCCTGCAGCATCAGCATGCGCCGAGTCGAGTTTGCGACAGATTCGATGACGTCCACATGACGTATCGGGGAAGGTGTCAACGAGATGGCTGTCACCCGCCGAAGATCTCACCAGCGCAGCTTTTGACGGATCAATATGAGCCATTGTTCTCCTATTGTGACGGGACGTGCGCGGAAATAAAGTGCATGTGTGTTAAGTTGCGGTATCTCCTCATGATTCACGTTCTCTGCTTTCTGACGAACGACCGATCTCCACATTGGTACCGTCTTGGAAAGCTTGTGATAGATCCAATATCTTTAAAAGCTCGGAACAGGTGTTTTTGTTTCCTACTGGCCGTCGTTCAGATTTCGGCTCTCAGGGATATTACTCTGACGCTTATCTGTTCTCTTAGCTTGTCCGACCTTTTCGTATTTATCTTATACGTGTCCAGCAAGGCACGACAAACCAGTCTGCATCAGGCCCAACAGCCAGCACACTTTTAGCAATTGTCACTCGATTGAAACTGTGGTGCCGCTTTTTCATGCGGATTACGCCTAATGGCTGTCTACATTTCCTGTCTTCAACGAATGAAAGCCGTTGAATGATGATGTATCATGGCAGCTACATCCCAGAAGCCCAGCTGATAGCCAGTTACTCACATTGACCTTGATGCCCGGTTGCGGGAAGCTCTTCTTTGGCTGTCCCGTGGTTGGCTCGTATCTATAAAACTCCTTTCCGTCCTTGTACCACTTGATGGAGTAGAGGTCCTTGCCCTCCAGGTCGTACAGGCAGGCCAGGTTCACGTCTTCGCCGTGCTTGACGTGGGTCGGGATGCGCACCTTATACAGCTGTAGGCCGTCAGCAGCTGCAACAACGGAAAGAACCCTTCACACCACCGAAACGAAAGACTTTCCTGTGCTAGCGCATTTGTGTCCCTGCGCGGAGGCCTTCCCCGAAACACAGCAGAGTAGGCTACGAACAGAGAATAGGCTACGCACCTATTCCCGCGCGACTTCATGCAACTGCGACGTGTGCTGCGACGTGTGTATGCGGTAAAGACGAACTGTGAATTTACCGTCATACGTCCCCTCATTGGTCACGTATAATTTCGGACCACGGCGATGCCTGGTCGGGGATCTGCGTCAATGTTATGGTAACATTGCTCTGGCCGGGGATCTGCGCCAATGCTGTGGTAACGTTGCTCTGGCTGGGGATCTGCGTCAGTGCTATTGTAATATTGCTCTGGCTGGGGATCTGCGTCAATGCTGTAGTAGCATCGCTCAGGCCGGGGATCTGCGTCAATGCTATAGTAACATTGCACACCCTTCTCTGAACGGGCAACTGATACCGAACGAATATCAGAGCACGTAGCCAGCAGTGATCTTATGGTAAGACTCGGTGTTCGCTCCTCGTAGAAGGACTGGACTGCCGCACGTCACGGCGCTCTGCCCGAGACCACGCCATAATGTCAGGAATGTGTTTGTTCCGCAGCAGCCGCTGGATACTGGCGGGGGACACTGGTGACGGTGCTGTGCTGTCGGGCAGCGGGACCGTCCCGCCCTGGCCGGCAGCAAGTGATACTGGCGCTGTTCCGCCCGACCAGCAAGATCACCCCAAGCTGTCCAGCGGCGAGGTGTGATACTGGAAGCTGTTCCACCCGACAGCGGGACCGTCCTGTTCTGTCCAGAGACGCGACGGGCCACAGCACACCCGCCCCCCCCCCCCCTCTCCCCGCAGCACCAGGACTGGCGCTCCGCCACACCCTCCCTCTGCGGACAGTACACGCACGTCCAGGGTGTTGGGTGTCCCAACATTTATGAATGGTGCATGTACAACGAACGTTGCGGTACCTATTACACCATTATGCCATCTGCACAGCGCAGTAAAAGCATGCACTGAACGTGACACATTGCCAGCCGGCGGTGGCCGGCTGGCAGGTGGAACATCGGTACGAACGTGTCTACACTGCGAGGCTGATCAGTAACCTTTATGCTTAAGTGATGCTCTATACTCAAGCCACATGGGATGTGGAGCACATTTGCGAATTCAAGCTAGTTGTCCGTATCTCACCCTCAGAGAACATCCGATTTCGTCTGCCTTTCAAGTCATAACGGTTAGTCCTGCCCCGACCGAGCTTTCAGAACTGAGGTCCCTCAGCTCAAGACAAATCACGGGCAACCTGCCGGCGCAGCCAGGCAGCCTCCCGGGCCCGTCGGCGGTAATTAACGGCAGGCGCGCGCTCCACACCGGCCCGGCAGCGGGAGCGGCGGCGCGCGATACAGGCACGGCAGCGGGAAGCGGCGGGCTCCACACGGGCCCGGCAGTGGGAGCGGTGGTGCACGACACAGGCACGGCAGCGGGAGCGGCGGCGCTTCCCGCCGGCCTGACAGCGGGAGCGGTGGCGCTCCACACCGGCCCGGCAGCGGGAGCGGTGGCGCGCGATACAGGCACGGCAGCGGGAGCGGCGGCGCTCCACACCGGCCCGGCAGCGGGGAGCGGCAGCGCCCAACACCGGCCTGGCAGCGGGAGCGTCGGCGTTCCACGCCGGCCCGGCAGCGGGAGCGGTGGCGCTCCACACCGGCCCGGCAGCGGGAGCGGTGGCGCGCGATACAGGCACGGCAGCGGGAGCGGTGGCGCTCCACACCGGCCTGGCAGCAGGGGGCGGCGGCGCGTGACACCAGATGACAGCCGACCTTCCGGGCCGGGGCCCCAGCAGCGCGCTGAGACCCCAGCTGACGCAAACACGAAGCGATGAGCCGATGCGCTCGTGCAGCAGCTCTAGTGTGGCGCTGTCCGCCCATCTCTTTCTCTGTCTTGACATGGTGGACGAGAGCGCTGAATTGTGTGGTAACGGCGTGGACGTTTTTGTGGTCATCTCACTGCGACAAATCGCGCAATGGGAACCAATTGATGTAACATTTTGTTTCTGTGACCCCTTCCCCAGGAAAGCACAGAGAGGTTGGCCACGACCCCGGTAACCTAATTTCATCGATGGTGAACACACACCCAAAACAAATGATTGGTTCCCATTCGCACATGAGGCCCGCGTGAGGTCTCCGCTCTAGTAGAACCGAGGCCCAAATAATCGCGCCTAACATTAAGAGGACACGAGGCCCGAATGATCACTTTCAAGAGAGGACGAGGAGCGAGTGAACCCCACTCGAGCAGTGACGAACCACAAACAATCTTCTCCAGACGACTACGGTGAAGCCAGCCGCCTCTGATCCCCGCCCCAATGGGACGACACGTAGATGACCCTCATTTCGGAGGACGAGACACCAAAGACACTCGATTCGAATGGAACGAGGTTGCCAACGGCCGTGATGGCGAGCGACCGCCGGCTTCCGCGGAACGCACGGAATCGGCTCCTGCCGATGGACGCAATCAGCTGACGCGGTAACGGCGCCATCTGACGGCGGGCGGCGGCGGCGCGGCGACTGACCGGGTTCCCTGGCCCGCGGCGGGGGGGACAGGCGGCAGGCTCTGCTGCGGGGCGTGCCGGCCCTACGTCGGTGTCTCCCGCGCGCGGGGCGGGCCGCGCACGTGCCACTCAGTGGCGGCCCGGCCGCGGTCCGCACAGTGCATTCCCCGCAACAGGTGATCGTTAGCATCGAGTCAGACCGCTGCAGCCGTGGTCTCAGTTGCCTGGGTGGGCCACGCTTAGCACATGCACGAGAGACGTACCCAAATAAATTTTGAGACGAATGTTTTGGCTTTTTCAGAGTTTTTAATTAAGACGGTCAGATTACGGTGTGCTGTAGGATCAGCACGGATAAAGCTGCATGTGATGTGCATAGTATGCTATATGTGGCATATATAAGATGCCTATAAATCCAAAATGTGTTTCTTATTATGAAACAGTCTGTTGCGAGTTAATTTCGTTTTAGCTTTATTTTGAGAGCGTCGTCTTCAGCAATGAACACAAACGAGGACGCCACGCCAATTAAAACGGCATTCCGGAATGGATGGGCGGATGACGTCAATAAAACGCCAATGCTTATCTCTGTATATATGCGTTATCGACGATATAAGGGCACTTAAACAAAGTTTGTTTGTCTACTTCAGTAGCCAGGAATGTGCCGTGACAACACCTAGTGGGTGAAATAATGTGCAGTGTAACATGAATGGACCTGTTGAATCACCGCCGAAATTCTGCTAATTTGATTGTTGATATTTGTCGACCCACTCACAACCAGTTTTAGTGTTTTGACTGCACCTGTGCGAAAGCGTGCAGCCAGCCAGTGCTAACGATGAAAGACAATAACGCCCACGGTTCACATGCCACCTGCTTCTATCAAACACCACGTCATGAATGACGTGAGAACACAAACGGACCTTTTACCATCCAAATGATTAGCAACGTGGGATAGAGGCGGCGCGAATACACAACACCTGACAAGGCACGACTTCCGCGCTTACATTCGGTGCACTTCCTAGTCAGCCAGTGCAATAAAAACACCGCCGTATCCGAACTCTTGGCTATCCCAAACCGGTCGTGACACAATGCCCTGATTACTGGTCAAACTGTAAGTTAGTTGCGGGCTGTTCACCGCTCCATTCGGGGAGCTGTGGTAGATTGGCTCCGTAGCGAGTCTGGCAGCGCCGTAAAACCCGGCCGATTCGTCTGTTTTGTCGCCGTGATGGAGCGGCCGGCGGGGGCGCGCTATACTGATGAGGCCGCCGATCCGAGCTGACCGCCGCGCCGTGCGCCACTCGTGGTCCCTCCGTCCGTCCCGCAGCCGTGCGGCACCTCAGGCGCCGGGCCGTTGGCCGGGCCCAGCCGTTACAGTCGGTGTCTGTCGGAGCGCGGCGGACACCGGAGTCCGGCCGGACGGCGCCAGGGTCCGGCCGGACCACGCCGGAGGCCGGCTGGACGGCGCCAGGGTCCGGCTGGACAGCGCCAGGGTCCGGCCGGACCACGCCAGAGCCCGACCTGGGCCACGCCGGAGTCAGGCTCGACCACGCCCGGTCAGCCTCGCAGCCGCGTCGATAACACCGCAATCCACATAAGTGAGGCCATTTTTCAGTTCCAAACCCCACGTCGCAATGATCTACGCGGGCTGGCGTGGAAATGACCCCCTCTTTTTGCGGTTGTCACAACAAATCAGCGCCTGCTGAAACCCCGCGTCAGCTCAAGTTTCAATTTTCCTATCTGGGCAGCGCGGAAACGTGCCAATTCAGTCGCGGTTGCACAACGGTGGCGCAGCATACGTTCGGGCCCAACAGAGGTAAGGACAAAAACGATGCGACCCACGCTGTTTTTCCAGCTAGTGCCAACAGACTGTTTGCTGATGCAAATATATCAAAGGTGAAAATGGCACCAAAGCTGCACATTTGCACAATAAAACAGCTTCTGCACCCATTTTATGGCCGATTAGTGGAGTGATATCACGGGTTGCGAATTACGCCGGCAGAGAGCGGCAATAGCAACCGCGCATGCCAACAACCACCTGAAGCACTGGCACCTGTGCACACTATGACGCCGCACAATGCCAGCAACACATCCGGACAGCGTCTTTACAGGGATCCCGAAGAACTCCGACAGCATTCCAACGTTCTTAGGCAGGGAAGCCAGTGACGAGCCTGACTAGTCGTTGGCCGGAGCTGTGGAGCCTCGGTAGTGAGAGACCGTGCGGCATGAGTGGTTAGCCGCGGTTACTGAGGGGGCCGTGCAGAAGGAATGGTCAGCCGCGGTACTGAGCGACCGTGCCGGGGTGGTTAGCCGCGGTAATGAGCGGGTCGTGCAGGGGGAGTGGTTAGCCGCGGTACTGAGCGGCCGTTCAGGAAGACTAGCCGCGGGTACTGAGCGGCTGTGCAGGAGGTCTAGCCGCGGTACTGAGCGGCCGTGCAGGGGTGGTTAGCACGCGTTTACTGAGCGGCCCGTGCAGGAGGAGTGGGTCAGTCACGGTACTGAGCGACCGTGCAGGAGTGGTTAGCCGCGGTACTGAGCGGCCATGCAGGAGGTCTAGCCGCGGTACTCAGTGGCCGTGCAGGAGTTGTTAGCCGCGGTACTGAGCGGTCATGCAGGAGGGCTGGCCGCGGTACTGAGCGACCGTGCAGGAGGTTTAGCCGCGGTACTGAGCGGTCGTGCAGGAGGTCTAGCCGCGGTACTGAGCGGCCGTGCAGGAGGTTTAGCCGCGGTACTGAGCGGTCGTGCAGCGGGAGTGCGCACATCTGCAGCTGGGGCGTCGGCGGCTGCCGTTTGATGGACGCGTGCAGGGCGCGCCCCGCCGCCGGGCCGCCGTCCGTCAGAGGCGCGCGCCATACCCTGTCAGTCGGCCATTATGCAACAAGCGCGCCGCGCCGGCGCTAATGGCACGCGCAATGGCCGACGCACGTGTCGGACACCGCGCGAGCACGGGCGTCGACGAGCGGAGAGGAGCCGCCGGCGCCGCCGAGCGCGTCCGAGGCCAACTCGCCGATGATGGCGGTCACAAGGGACGTCGCAAACGGGTGGCAACACCGCGTATGTCCAGCGCTCTCGCCTATATACGTACGGCTTTCTCTGCTACGCATCTTTCTCTGGTTTTTCCATCGGCATTATGTATGGACGCAGGCATGGACATCTGTCTATGTCCATGCCATATACATATATATACACTTAACTAGTGGACTTCAGGGTTTGCGTAGACAAATGGCAGTGACTGCCAGGCGACAGGTGGTCGTCTCCAGTTCTGGATGTATTATTTTCTTTTTTTTGATACCGCTTTTGAACAGACGCGCTGCATTAAACATGCGAAATCCGCACATTTGAGAAGTGTTCCACATTTGAATGGGGTATTGGACTGAAGTGGCCTTCTTGGAGATCATCCGGTGCAATGCACAGCCCTGCCCTTCTCAAGACCTAAACCCCTCTAGTTTCTGAGCTACTCACTCGCGAAGATGTGCGGACTATTTCAGGTAGACTATTTCAAGTTCACCCAGGTATCCATGACGGCAAAACGTCATTCAAATCCTGCCATTACATTGGCCACGCAGTGATCAAGAATAAGAAAAATATAAGTGTCAAGTCGCTCAAATCTGGCGTTCGTGAACACGATTTCCAAATATAACGACCGTAAATTAGCTCGCAATGAAAGTTGTGCAAGGTAAGAAATAATAACAATGACTTAATCAAACAATGGCTGTTGGGGAGCATATTCACTAAACATAGGAATTATGTTGTCTTGAGCGGACTTTTTCACTCAGAAACTGTTCATAGCTGAGCCTATTTCATCACATCTGATGTTTGCTTCAATATCTCCAAACGTGGAGCATTCGCTTTTAAGAAGCCAGGCCATTTGGGCTATGTTTGGGTGCTCCTTTCCGGGCCGGTCCGTTGATGTATCGGTGCGGCAGACCAGCACATCTGGCCCGGTGGAAGACTCACAAGCCTGGCTGGCAAGATGGATGAAAAATCCATGCAAAATGAAAATACATGACCGTCGTGTGAGACATCAATAACACGACTTTGCTCTCGGAAAAATTACGAAAGATGACTTTGACAAGGAACTGAAATAAGTGCGCCAAGGCGTAGACGATCCTCATTGCGACAGCACCACACCGGTAACCATGGCATCTGGTTATCGACAGTTTGACCCTTTTGGTTTGGTTCGTTTGGCATTGCCCAACGAGGTGGCGTGTGGTCACCGGCGGTCGCGTCCCAGGAGTCCCCAGTCAAGGTAAAGCCCGGGGTTCCGCACACTTGGTGGTGGCTGATATAACGATATAATAGCACTAGCACCTAGCACATAGCACCTGATATAAAGATAGCACTGATATAACGAACCAGCTTTGACGACCAGACTAGCTTTAACGAGCTGATCATGCCAAGATTCGGGCACAAGTCACGTAATTACGGTTACGTGAACAAAAACCGTGGCCACAATCATGGAAGATATAATATAGGCTGAATGACTACAAGAAAGTCGGCACGTTCGTAGTTCCATGGGATGCAACATCGTATTGGCACAGGCAGAGGGGGGGGGGGGGGGCACAAGGGGCATGCATCTCGGGTTCCCAGGGGCTTAATCGTAGGTCCCAAGAAACCCTTTGGGACTTACGATTAAGGGCGCAATTTGAGGGCCCGAGGAACCCGAAAGGCCGACCGGAGGTGATGTTCAGCGGCCCCGCCGACAGGGCCGGCACCCCAGTGCACCTCCGTCATTGACTGCAGGTCACGTAAACATCGCGGCACGTACGATGGTGACCTGGAATGTCAGCCATGGAGCCTCTCGCACCGTTTGAGGACCCCCTAAACTAATGTGCGTGTCTAGCCCGACTAGAGACCGCCAACACCAAATAATTGACTGTCAGTCTGAACCCTGAGGGCCTGTTTCCCTTGTATCGGTCAGGGGCCCACAGTGTCTAACAGGGTGTTCTGTGTTAACAAGGGGCCTCCAGTCGACCAGAGGAGCATTTGCGGAACAGGAATGGGAACGGGCCTTGAATGCCAGAAGGCCTCTTACGTCGGCCGGGTCTCTGACAGTGAAAGGAAACATGATAACTTATGATGCGTGTTCTCACTGAGACAATGGAAGGGCCCTATGCCCGTCAGGGCTCCCGCACCACATGGTGGGCCGGCCCCCCAGCTCTACAGCCCAATTCCCGCACGTGCCTGGTAAGCCGAATTGGAGTCTATATGTCAAATATTGGACCACCCACGGTGACCAGAATCTTGTTGCGTCATTAAGGGTTCCGGGGCCGGACCCGGGGCCAACTGCGTGGGTCAGTCTCGCATCGAGGAGGGGCCAATATGATATCAAGGGATTCCGCTCCTCGCGCCCAAAATGGCGGCCGGGAGGCAAACCGGGGCGGGGCGGAATGGCCTTCAGCCCTTCACCGGGGACGATCATGTGCTCCTAGTGTTCTACTCAACGACGGTACCTTGCTCGGAAAAAAGGAAGGTGTCTTATCAGTGTTGAATAGGGTGGGTCAAAATCAGTTTAAAAAAATGAACAAGGTCATCCAGTGTTTGCCTGAGAACGTTTATTCTTTTTTCAGAATCGACGCGTGAAACAAATTACATCGAAAGGCTTGAGCCTGCACGCCTGCAATCTCGGGAGCAAGGTTTCCGATGGCCGGAGTTGTAGTTTCAGTAAAACCGAACGGCGTTGAATGCTCCAGATACCAGACGGTGGGCGCCGTGCGCGCGAGAACGACCGGCGTGAATTAATACTTTCGAATGGCTTTAAAAATGAATTCGTACTTTTCAAAGATTGGACTGGGTATATCTTTTACCACGTTGATGATGTCCTCTGGCTAGATTAACAGCTGCAGCAACACAAAAAAGAGACTCTACCTTCCCTATTTCAGTTCCACCACGAGATTCCAGTACCACTTCGCCGTTCTGTAATGGCCAGTCCGTCTTACCATCAATCTAAAAATCTCACATATGGAATGTTCGCCCGGACTATCTTCTGAATGTGCGATACAATGCCCTAAAGCATTCAAAGGTACTTCTTTCAGAAGCGTCATCACTGTCGTCCACCCGTTGACCACGGCTCAGTGCCAGCCTCTGCGCCGTTGCTGCGCGGCCTGTGGAGACTGCAGCGCCTGGCGTCGAAGTTACTAAGATTTGCTAGTGCTCATGTTCAAAACTACATCACATAGTTTGGATCACTTATCGATTAGTGTTCAAGGGTAATGCTTTCAGAAGCGTTACCATTTTCGTCCCACCGTGGGCCACCGCTCGGTGTTAGCCGCTGGGCTGCCACTGCGTGGTCTATGGAAACTGCAACGATTAGCGTCGAGGCTCTTGTTGCTAAGATTTGCGAGCATGCGTGTTCAAACTACGTTGACATAGTTCGTATCACTAATCGATTTGAAGTGAACGGTGGACGTCGGAAAAGCATGGCTTGAGGATATTCATACAAATTACGGACCCAGTTCGATCCACAATCCACATTTGCGTGGTCCTTACCATTTCTATAGAACCTGGATCATAATTATGGCAAAGCCTGTGAGTTCTATGGGTTTAGAAAGAGCGTACTGAGCCATTGTGAAATGTAAACACCATCGGCGATTTATCTTATGCAATCTTTTAACACAAGATTTGTCCAGTATGTTAACCATAAAATACAGGCAGAAATGACCCGCGGTAGCTTCTGGCTTCTGATCTAGTTATGAAAGGTAAAGGTTTGAAAATTATAAAGAAAAACATGTCCTTATGAACAAATGTGCCAACCCTGTACCCCCTCCCCCTTTCCAAAGGCTCTGGTTGTATCCCTGGCCGCACGTCCCCAGATAATGAGCAATCACTGGAACGTCAACTGAATCCGGCTAACATACACAAGACTCATAAGACATACAAAAACTCACTACCGACAAATCCTCGCTCTAACCGAGTGTGTAGTTGACGTATGAACGGCCCCACACACACTTCAGCGGTGGTTTTTACGACGCTCCAAATGACGTAAGACCAGCCAATTGACAGACATCTCATTACACAGGCCCTCTACGTACCTGTATTCATCGAATACCAGAGAAACATGGCGAGGAAAATACGGCTATTCACCACATCAGACCACGCTATAGCTCTGCTCCGAATCGGCGGCTCCACGTCGCCCGCATTTCGGCGGTGCTCGACGATTATTGAGCGTTCGACGGCAGCCGGTCGGTCGGCAGGACTTCGATACCCAGCCACACAGAGTGGAGCCGCCGCAGCCGGACCGAAAGGAGGAGTGGAGTGCCAGGCGGTGCGGGCGCAATCTGCTCCGACCGAGCGCTGAAGAGGAGCCGACGGTGGCGGCTGGGGGAGAGGGCTTGAAAGTGGGTGCTGGTTGGGTCACACACACACACACACGCCACAGCCACGTTATCAGGTTCTGTTGGCACGTGGGTGTGCAGCGCGGCGTGACCTCCAGGCCGCTCAGGACGGAGGTACGGAGACCGACCGCCGGCTCTCTCCATCACTGGCAAACGTCATTACGCCCGAGACAAAGATCGGACCCCGCAAAGGTCTTATCGTCGTTTCGTTTCCTTATCCCTATGGTCGATGCTATCATGAGTGTCGGCGGTGACAGGCGCAGGTCAAAAGCCTCCGTGAGCGTCACTCATGATCCTGCCTCGGCCGCGGAGAGCCTTTCGTGGGCGCTGCCCGTGATCCTGCCTCACCCGCGGAGAGCCTTTCGTGAGCGCTGCCCGTGATCCTGCCTCCCCCGCGGGGAGCCTTTCGTGAGCGCTGCCCGTGATCCTGCCTCCCCCGCGGAGAGCCTTTCGTGAGCGCTGCCCGTGATCCTGCCTCCCCCGCGGAGAGCCCTCCGTGACCGCCGCCCGTGATCCTGCCTCGGGCCGCGGAGAGCCCTCCGTGTGCGCCGCCCGTGATCCTGCCTCGGGCCGCGGAGAGCCTTTCGTGAGCGCTGCCCGTGATCCTGCCTCACCCGCGGAGAGCCCTCCGTGAGCGCCGCCCGTGATCCTGCCTCGGGCCGCGGCCGCCGCCCTTTGGGGGGAAGTGGTCGGCCGAAATAGTGTCCGTTAGTGCTGCGAGCGTAGCCAGCCGGCAACAAAGGCCGCGCAGACCGCACCGCTGGCCGCCAGGCGTGACGGCCGTCACGGCGTCACACGCCCCTCCCCTCGCCACCGGACGCGATGGAGGGTGGCGCCAGACCCGCAGCGCCGGTGTGGCTGTCGCGCTTGCCGGCGTGTCTGCGGCGGCTGCAGATCACAGCACGCCCCGGCGCCGCCTACACAGCCACAGTCGCAGCCAGCTGACCGGAAAAGTCCGGCGGTGCATGCGGCGTCGACGGGGTGTGATAAACGTGACCGTGGCCACAATGCCTGCAGCGCCGAACGGCGTGGTCACGTGACCTTGGGACGGCGGACGGGAGTGGAGGAGGCCGCGGTGCCGGCTTTGAGGACGGCGCGGCGCGCCCCGCCCTCCGGTGGCGCTCGCTGCAGCTGGACGGTTGGTGCGGCCCCAGCCGGGACTCCGCGTGTCGCGCGCCAGACGGACCGCGGACCATCCGGCTGGAGGGACCGGCGACGCCGCTCGACACAGACGCCGTACGGACCGGCGCCAGTCCCCTGAAGCCCCCCCCCCCCCCCCCACCAGTCGGACGTGAGCAATCCGACGTGCTCTGCCCGACCCGCAGAACGCCGCGGGTAACACCACCGCGCGTTGGGAGACATCTGACGGGCCAAACTGTCGCCCTGTGGGGGACAAATAGCGCAACACTGACACCCGACAGGGACAACTAAAGCAACAATGACACCCGGCAGGGTGAACAGAAGTAACACCAACGCCCGGCAGGGACAACTGAAGCAACACTGACACCCGTAATGGACAACTAAAGCAGCAATGACACCCGGCAGGGTGAACGGAAGCAACACTGACACCCGGCAGCGTAAACTGAAGCAACACTGACACCCGGCAGGGACAGCTGAAGGAACGTTGACCAGCGTGGCATCGTGCGTAGGACGCCCAAGCAACACTCATTTGGCGTGTGTAATGCCAGTGCCCCGACCCGCGGGAGGCAACTCGGGCAACGCCGCCGCCTCACAGGGAGCGACTTCGTCGGAAAAGTCAGGTAACGCCGTCGCCCGGCGAGAGACAGCCCAGGTAACACAAGGAGACGGCCCGCGTAATGCTGCCAGGTAACCGAGTTAGGGCCGTGCGCCACGGGCGCCGAGCGCAGGCGTCTGGCAGCGACGGGCTCCGGACGACACAACAAACGGGCTCCGGACGGGTCAGACAGGCCCCAGGCGCGTAAGACGGGCTCCGGGCGTGTCAGACAGGCTCAGGATGACACATCAGACGGGCTCCGGACGACACATCAGACGGGCTCCGGACGGCACATCAGACAGGCTCCAGGCGCGTCAGATGGCTCCGGACGGCACATCAGACAGGCCCCGGATGCGTCAGATGGCTCCGGACGACACATCAGACAGGATCCGGGCGCGTCAGATGGCCCCGGACGGCACATCTGACAGACCCCGGATGCGTCAGATGGCTCCGGACGACACATCACACAGGCTTCGGACGCGTCAGACAGGCTCCGGACGCGTCAGACGGCTCCGAACGCGTCAGACGCATCACCTCGAGGCCTTTCAGAGGCGACTCGAACTCCCCAGCTCGCCCGCACGCGGCAAGTGGAGGTGGCGGTGCGCTTTTAAAAGGATTATCCCCAGGCCGGGGAAAGCCTGCTCTTGTGCGGGCGACCGAAATAAACGGCACAACATGCGATGATATGGGCTTCCTCGCGGTAACGCACTCCGGCCAAGCGGTGATGCTGTTTGGCACTGTCCCGAACACAGGTTGTGGTGCTTGTTACAACTTGTGACTGGTGCCAGTAGGCTGGTTTAATGTTGTAAGTCTATGAAAAGCACTGTAAATAAAAACACATTCACTGGGTCACAAATATCCACAACACAGACTTGTTTTGACATGAATGCCCCCTGTCCAGATTAAAAACAAAAAGTGAGCCGTTTTAGACTGTTAAACTAGAATAAATTTCACACAGCATGCCGGCGGTGCTGCGATGCGTGCGTGCGTGCGTGCGTGCGTGCGTGCGTGCGTGCGTGCGTGCGTGCGTGCGTGCGTGCGTGCGTGCGTGCGTGCGTGCGTGCGTGCGTGCGTGCGTGTGTGTGAATCCTTTCGCATGGAGTACCGGACGGAGGACGGCTGGCCACAGCCGCCTGGGCCCGACCCGAGCTCACTGAGTCCCCAACGACGGGCGCATGCGAAACACGGCTACTTGCGCTACGACAGACCTTTGGTCCCGTGCACACGGCTGGTCCCTTATTATCTGTGTGGGCATCCTATTCACATGGCGACGTGCCGCTCATGATTGTGAAGAAGTATGGAGGAAAGTTACTCCACCACGCCACCGTCATTGTAACTGGCTTGTAAGGCGCTAAACGGTGGCAGAATCACGTTGCGATCGTGTCTGTGATCTGAAAATATGGCTGGTAGATTTGTGCACTTTTACTAAGCCCTCGCGTGACACTACCGTTACCTGTGTGGCCTCAGTAGATATTTTTCGATTTTAAAAGCGTCAAACTCGTGGGAAAAGGCCAGGCCACTCCCGCCAGGAATACCGCTCATGCATTCACCCGCTCATGTTCGGCACCGTCAAAACTCCGCGCGCGTCTTGTTTTGGCGGAAGCCGCCTCACACCGTACATCGTCTTACATCTTCGACATCGATATGGACCTAACTGGGTAAATGAGTCGGCCGGACGCTGCTCAGCTAACTGACATTTTCTCACGTTGTGCCATTCCAATCGCACATGTGGTCACCTAACCGGTGAGAGCATTGGTCATAATGACGTGCTTGATCGGCGATTCGACACGGCGCCATCCTGTTTTCCACGCCCTGAGGCGAGCCAGTGATAGCCTGCCCGCAGTCTGTCGCGCGCCAGCTATGCGTGCTCTGGGCAAAAACATGTGGATCGAAAACTAGGATCGTTGGTCAGCCACCAGCGCGGTGAGACAACACGCGGTGCAGACCGATGCCTTCGAAACGCGCACTGTAACATAAGGCATTTGTTGTTTAAACATCTTACAGCTTTGAACTATACACGTCCAAAGATATACAGTCGTGCATTGTATGGCGCCTTACGGCACGTGACATGCTCATGGAACGTGTTCGACGGATGGAAGGGAGGAAGTGTGGTAAATCAATATTGACACCTGACCCGACAAGCCTGGATATTTATGACGTAGTTGAGACATTGCCAACAGACAATGTATCAATTCAGAACGCTGAGGATACAGCGACGCCCGTAAAAACAGGGCCTCTGAGTCATCAAAAATTATCAGCACTCAATTGAACCGTATGTTTGACTGGCTGGCTTTTCGCTAGGTCAACATGTAAAAACACGGGGTTCACAAACAATCTGGGGTCCTGGAAGTTCTTGACACTCCTGGGGCAAAGTTTTCCAGGAGAGCGGCTGGACAGTAGAGGACGCGGTGGACAACGCTGCAGCAGAGACGTGCTGGCATGTCATGGAAGCCCACGTGCCACGTCAAAGATACAAATGAGCGAACGGACCTGAGCTCATTACGGATTATATCAATCAGTGAATTCCGTCTCCATCCTCACGGATTGAACCAGACCGCGCCAGAGAACGTCCGTAATGACAGCTATAAAGACTGGATTGGACTAAGTCCAAACTTTATAACATTTGGAGCTCACCCATTTAGCCACTCACGTCGAAGTCTCAATTTACCTCGACGCTCTTTCATGATATACAATATAGGGATGCTGGAAATGACTATTAATGCAGCGACATATCTCAAAGTATAATTGATATTTTAGCCAAATCCATGTCATAACGGGCCAAGGGTTTAAATCATAAAGCTGTTCTTTTGTCAATTACAGTCACTGAATATGCAATGCGAATTTGCTCCCTGTTGGTGCTTACCAGTGTTGCATAGGGCATTGCATGTTTGATGGGGGTGGAGTGATTCAATACATCGATACGGATTCTTTCCCGCGGTATTTCTGCAGTGACA